CTGTCATTTTCCTCTTAGTTTTTGACTCCTTTTGACCCCTGAAAGATTCTGGTTTAAATAAAGCTAAATTCTCTGGCTCCTGAATACCATTTAGAATGTATAGAATAATAAAGTTCTTGAAATGATCTTCATAAATCATGTTTTACTCTGTGTCTGATGTGGGTTAATCCCAGTAGGCACCTAAGCCCCATGCAGCCACTCGCTTACTCCCCTGCAGTGGGATGGAGGAGAGAATCAGGAGGGTAAAAGTGAGAAAACTTGTGGGTTGAAATAAAGACAGTTTAATAGGTAAAGCAAAAGCTGCACACGCAAGCAAAGCGAAACAAGGAATTCCTTCACTGCTTCCCATGGGCAGGCAGGTGTTCAGCTACTTCCCAAGGAAAGCAGGGCCTTGGGAAGACAGATGACATAACTCCAAACGTCCCCCCTTCCTCCTCCTTTCCCCAGCTTTTATTGCTGAGCATGATGTCATATAGGGTGGAATATCCCTTTGGTCAGTTGGGGTCAGCTGTCCTGGCTGTGTACTCTCTCAACTTCTTGCCCACTCCCAGCCAACTCACTGGCAGGGCAGGGTGAGAAGCAGAAAAGGCCTTGACTCTGTGCAAGTACTGCTCATCAATAACTAAAACATCTGTGTTATCAACATTGTTTTGGTCATAAATCCAAAACATAGCACCATCTGAGATGTTATGAAGAAAATTAACTCCGTCCCAGACAAAACCAGCATCGTGTCTAACTTTAACTAGATCTTTACAACAAGCTAACTCTCCAAAATCACTCAATAGTGTGAGAATGTTGTTTAAATACTCTAGGACAACTAATGAAACACTGAGATGTTTATAGGCTTCCATTATAGGTAGCCTATAGATGTTTATAGGCTTCCATTGTAGCTTCAAAACCAGCCTTGCTTGGTTGCATGCAAGTTACCTCACTGTTCACAGAATAAAAGTGTAAATAAAATTTGTATCTAGAGAAAACATTTAGAAGTTGGCATCTCACAAGCAAGTTGTGATGTCAAGCATTTAAGAAAAAAACACTGAGGAGAACCAAAGCTAGACATCAGCATCTTTCACCGCAGAACTTCCAAACATTGGTGTCTTAATGCTGGAAGGCTTCATGATGCCCACAGAAGAAATCTTTCAATGCAAAAATCTTTGGTATCTTTGGATTCTGTTTAAACTAGGTAGTATTTCTTGGTGGGTGGATAGAAAGTGGCCCAGGTTGTGGTTACATTCCTCTCTGTCCCTAAGAAGAGTACCTTTACTTTCCAGGCTGTTCTCTGAAATGTATATATAACTTACAAAGTTTCTGGTTTTGAGACAAAAAATCATGTATATGCTAAACTAGTGGCTTGTCTAAGGAGAAGTCCTTTCATTAAAAGAAAGCAAGTCTTGGCTGTGTTCACCACGTAGCCCCTAACATAATATGCTAATTTTAAGATGTGGACAACTTATAACTAAGGACCTCTTGCCTGTATTTTATATGAAACAGTCTCCACCCTACAATCCAATATCTAGCTGTGTTTCTGAAACTTGACATAGGAGAATACCAAGGAAAAATCAAATTAGAACTGATAAATGGCACATGACAGGATCTACACAGGCACATTGGGTGTTCTACAGCCATGGATCTTCTCTCCTTTGCCACTGGAGACTCCTCTATGATGATAGGAAGCAGAAACCATATAGAATTTCTTTACTTGACCTGAGCCTCTGAAAACTTTGGGTTGTATTTCTGTGGCTTTTAACTATGCAGGTGACACTCCTTTGCAGCTGTAAGCAACTACAAATGCAAGAGCATGCATATTTCTCTTTATTTTGATGATATGGGTCAAACATAAACTCAACTTGAAACGTTAGAAATCATGAGAGTATACATACATTCCCGATAGGCATGCATATTTATGAAGCAATTCAAGTACATGCAAGGAACAATGACACTCTTGCTTTGCAGTAGAGGCACAATGTTGGAATTGTTAATGTTTTTTAAATTTAAAGCACAGATAGAAGATTGTATTAGTTGAATTTAAAGCAAACATTAAACATAATGTTAATGGTGTTCTCAAGGGAGTTTTACTAGGTAGAAGTTCTCTGGTGACAGATATTAAAGCCTTGATTGATCTCCTTCCTAAAACATTTAATTATATTTTGTTTTTAGAAATCAGAAACCTCAAAATCAATTTTTGGATGACATTTGAGAGGAATCTGATTTGGATAAAAAGGAAATATCAGCTTTGCCAATTCGTATTTTTTCCCTGCCCAATGACTTGTTTATATAGCTTCTTAATATAGTATAGGTATTACAAATGATGCATTTTCTTCTTGAGTATGTTTATTATACATGACCATGCAAACATTAGAAATATACAGAAAACTACTGAATGCCATCTGAGAGATACAGGTTCACACATGAAACATCAAAAAGCATCTTGGATGCAAATGTGAAAGATCAGATAATAATCCAGTTGTTTTGCTTAGACACAAACAAAATAGGCATATTGTGTTTCAGGTCTGGATATGATTTCATTTAGACTGAACTTTCCATCTTCCTGTTGACTATCAAAGTCAAGGGCCAGTGCGCCTTCAGGATTGCAGGGTAGTTTGCCAGGTACATTCACCAGTTGCAAGTACTGGATGTGCCAGAAGCAGAGAGGGTCTGACCTGTTTCAGAGGAATTTAGGCCTTTCTGTTCCAAATGTAAATGGCAGCTGGCTTGTTATCCACGGAGAGAGATGAAAGCATATGTCTATCTAGGGCATGTATCCTGTCATTAGTTATTTAGCAGATTGGACTTCTGGTAACTATTTGCCTACAAACCGCTATAGCCTGAGACCTTGCTGAATCTTTTTGCCTCAAAAGAGAGAAAATCTTTCCTTTGGACTATATCAGATCAGAATATACAATTCATGTATTTGCATGATGACTCCCAAAGAGCAAGTCAGATCCTTACATAATTGTTGATGAGCATACTGCAGATGAGACATACAGACTGCATGAAGAAGCTCATTCAGATCTGTGCTGCTCTAGGCAGGGTGTTTATCTCTATCTATATCTATATCTATACCTATACACACGCATACCTCGCCCCCCTCCTCAAAATGGCTTTGAAGCTGCAGTATCTCCAGTGTGTGCAATGGACAATGAGCAAAAGGCAGTTTTCAGATCAGGAAGGAAGCTAATGTGATGAGGCACAGATACCAAGAAAGGCTGAAATACTTGGAAGCAGCTCTTCGATGTCTCATTTTGATGAAAAGGGACCTCAGAAGCCATCTAGTACGACCGCTTCCCCAAAGCAGGGCTAACTTGAAATTTAAATCAGGTTGCTCAGCTCCTTGCCCCGTTCAGTTCTGAGAATCTCCAAGAATGGCTTAATACAGTTCCTTCTGTCACTTCAGTGTATAGCTCATTCCTGGTATAGCCACTGACTGCCAAATCAGTATAACTACTCAACTACTTACTGCCATTTTTCTGTCTATTTGTGAAACACACACATGCACTTAAGTTACATGCAGCCCCTTTTGCTATTTGAATCATCCAGGTTTGATCCAAAGACTTCTGTGGCAGTTGTACTTACTTACATTGAGATTGAACTTCACATAGTATCTCCCTTCTCTGTTCATCTTTGGCCAAAAGAATACCCCAAATTCCCAAACTGTCAATGGCGGTCTTGCAAATAACAGTGTTGTGTTGGGGCAGCAGCATTATTTTCCATCTTCAGACTTGTTCCCTCTAGCACTAGATGCTTTCCTGGGCTTCCAGGTGTTGCTAACTGCTAGTAAAATAAATATGTAAACAAATATTAAGGTGACTTAGGAAAACATTTTGTCTTTCTCCTCTAAAAACACTTTTCATACATGCTTTAAATGCCTGAATCTTTTGAAGGTTGTAGAATATGGAGGAATTCTTAATTATGTAGAATATGTCAGAATATGGAGGAATTCTTAATTTCTGAATTGTACCATGATTATTTGAGTAAAGTATAATCTCCTCAGTGCAAGCACTCGAATCTTTTAGTTGTTCAGCATAAAAGCCGTTGCAAACGGTTAACGAATAATAAATATCTGCCATATACTGCAGCAAGAGATGAAGTTTCCCAGGTGGGAATTCATCAACATAACAGTATAGAACATTGCTGACTATGGCTGAAACGCTTTCCACCTCCTGTCTCTGGGCCAGGCTGTTCCTGACCCTTACATGGGTCCACAGATGTCAAGAGAAATTATGAAGCACTTCCTCTTCACTTCCCTCACGTAGTCCACGGGAGGGCCCAGCACAGCTGAAGTGCCTTCATCCCTTCCCATGTTAATAGGAGTTGCATCATTGACTTCAAAGGAGCTTGGACTTAGAATCATAGAATTATAGAATCGTTAGGGCTGGAAGGGACCTTCAAAGGTCATCTAGTCCAACCCCCCTGCAAGGAACAGGGATATCTCCAACTAGATCAGGTTGCTCAGGACCTCATCCTGATCTAGTTGGAGATATCTTCATCTCCATTGTTTTGTCTCCTCTACTAGTATTGTCAAAGTACTTTCTCACTTTGCCTGACAGTACAGAGAAAGCTGCTGTACGACACGCTTCATGCACACGGTAGGTTTGATGCTTTCACAAGTTCATGTATGCTGTATCACAGTGCTCAGTAAATCCCATACATTACAAAAGTCTCTAGGTGTAAACCAGCAGTAAGTCTGATGTTTTCAATCCATTTGAGACCCTTCAGACTGTACATTGATAGCAGCCTCCAAGGAATAACACGTTGCTCACCACAAAAAAGCGCACGGGGAGGTCTCCTACCGAGCACAGCCAGAAGCCATAAAAACCTCAGGGCAGATTGTGCTCTAAAGGCACCTTTCAGAAAGATTATTTAACTCCATGCAGGTGCTTCAGCTTGTGAAAACCCAGCTAGCAAGCAAGGTTTTGTTTTTCTCACACTCTGATTCTTGAGCAAGATCTGAGTCCTGTTAACAGCAGATACAGCCACCACAGTCAGAAGACTAAATAAATATGTTGAATGTCATTTATTGGAGCTCAGAAAACGCCTCGTTAGAGTTTTTAAGCCCGTGCGTCCCCTCCTGCTCCTCCTTTCGACCTTGGAGCCCCGGCCCCGGCCCCCTCCCGCGCTCCGCTCCGCGGCGGTCGCTGGAGCAACCTGCTCGCACGCGTGGGAGGAGTGATGGGGAACGGGGCGGCGTGGCGGGGAAGCAACCCAAATCCCGGCTTTCTCAGGGTGGATCTTTGCTACTTGTGCAATCCTCACTTTCGGGAGAAACCCGGTCGTTTGAGCGGGGGTTTTCTTTGAGACTGGGGTTCCCCTCAGAAAGAGGAGAGGAATGTCCTGCCCCCTCGGCGAGGGTGTGGGTAATTTTCCTGGAAAACAAACCGCTGACCCATATGCAACGCTGACAGGGTTGCAAAGAGGATATAAAAAACCCCAACAACCCTCGTCTCAGCTATCACCACTTTATCACCTGCGAGTGCCTGGAAGGAGGCTCTTCCCTCCGCTGGGAGGGAAAAAAAAAAAAAATCAGCTTAGGAAAGCAAAGTTTGAACAGCGAATTCCTGTTATTTCAAAGCGCCCCATGTGACAGGATATTTCCTTATCATTTCAAGCTCAGCGCTTTCCCCCGATCCACCAGCCCTTCACAAGCACGGAGGACGTGCCCGGCGGGAAGCCCTCTCCTCGCAGCGGCGGGGCGCCACGGGCGAAGCTGCGGCGATGGATCCGTCCCTGTTCCTGCTTCTCCTCATACTTCTCCCCCGGGTTTTTCCGCTGCTGGGTAAGTGCCCGCAGGGGCTGTGCAGGATGAGAAGTAGCGGGAAAAGAGCGGGGTCTCCGCGGGCACCGAGCCCGACCTGACCTGAGGCTTGGGTAGGGAGTGGGAAGCTGAAAACAACCACGCAGGTGGAAAAGCCCGCGGCCATTTTAACCCCCTCGGTGCTGCCTGAGGAGAGCCTCGATGCGGCCCTCCCTCAGCCGCCCGCCCCAGCTGTCTCCCCTGCCTCACTAGCACCCTGAGGTGCCCGGGGGGCAAAGCTGCCCGAGGAGGCAGTGCTGTGGGTGCCGTGGTGTTGCGAGTGCCAAGCAGGGCTGTCGCTGGCAGTGCCTCAGTTTCCCCGCTGCCTGGGGGCTCAGCCCCCGATGGATTTAACACTGTCCTGCAGCTCTCCCTCAGCTGCCCCCTCGCCAGGGAGGTCTGTGGAAGGGCCTGGTGGTAGGACTCTGCCTTTCCCCCAGACCTCTGGTCTTCAGTGGGCCTGGGGACCTGGTTTTCGCGTGGGGATGTTAAGGTAGCTAAGGTATTGGTATGGAAGAGAGCTGTGAAACAGGAGAAAGCTGTGTTTCTTGGTGAAACCTGGAATTTGATGTGAGAATTACCATGATTTCCAGTTGCACTGCTCTTTTTCAGTGAAAGTTTTGCATCTACCCTTCCTGAAAGTCTCTCAGCATCCTCTGCTCTACAGCTTGAGGTCTACTGAAGCAAAACTTGATCACATTGCCTTGTAACCTTTCTTGCTTTCTGTAATTAGCAGCAATCATTATAGGCCATCTGGTAAGCGAGAGTCTGCATGGAGAAGATTGTCATCCTGCCTGCTTGCTGCCTCATTGCTCCCCTCTCACTTGCGTCTGACTTTTGGTGTGCTGTTCTGGTGCTTTCCATTAGTGTTTAACACTGGTAGTGCTTCACTGGCTTCACGAGTTACTTCTTGATTTACACTTGCATAACCTGCGATAGTTTGCAAATGCTGCAGTGAATCTATTTTTGCATACTGGAAATCTCTACTGTGGAAAAGATACTTGGCCAACGAGATTTTACACTACTTGGCACAATTCTTCAGATACAAGCTGGGGCCAGAGACAGGCAAATAGTCACAGTGTGGTGGGTGATGAAAAATGAAAGCCTGTGAGAAAAATTTTATTAGGATCTACTTGGGACATTTGAGGGAAAAGATACTGGATGAGTTATCATGGTAGGTTGATTCCTGTGCCTGGCATGTTCCTGTGCATTTTAAAGAACCTCTTTCCAGAAGTAAGTTTCAAAATACGGAATACTGTGTTAGAAATTAGAATAATTCAGAGTACCAAGACTGGGGTACTCAAAGATCGTGCTGTGGTGACCTTTAAGTGTACCACTTACAGCGCATCTATAGTGAAGAATGGCACCCTGTTACGGGAGCTCTGTAACAAATGTTGCTACAGAAGAGTGAAACACAGTTAATGGTTATATGAGTAGTTCTGCTCAGCCAATTCTACAGATACGGCTCATCATGTTGACAAGAGCGGTATCAAGTGTTTATGGAGAAGAGTTGGCAGGGCATAGAAAGTGTGCAAATACCTGGCTTGTTTCATATTCCTTTAGAGTGTTTAATAACTCAAATTGAAAGTGTGGTGTGGGAATCCTCTTTGGTGTCCAAGCAGGCAGAACAAACACAGAAATAAAGCTGTAGCCTAGAGCAACACAGGACCTTACTGAAAGTCTGCTGTATGGTCATGGATGAGACAGGAACAACTCTGAGGGGAAGGAAATCCTGCAACTACGGTCTCAGCCACAGTTTCTCATGCATCCTGCTACCTGCTGTTCTGTCCTCCTGTTTTGATGCCAACTTATTTTCAATGCCTGCTTGGCCGTGTTGGCCCTTTAGCTGCTTACCTATATATTATTCCGTGAGAGCCCTGCATGCAATGGGGCCCTTCTATAAGCAGCTGTGTTGTGTTTATACACTGCTAACACTTTGTAAAGGTGCAGTCAGAAAAGCAGAGGACCAAAGATTTGTCTTCCTCCCACCCCCCCATGACCAGACCTCTTTGTTCAGCTTTCTAACCTTGTTTCTGAAGCAAAAACTCTGCACCCTTTTGTGGTACTTTTCTCGTGCACACAATATCCTCTCTTTGACACTGTAAGCTGCATAAAATAAGGAATGTTATTTTAGGCCACAAATACAATTTTAGCAGTTTGAAAGATCGGGCAGTGTTTTCCACACATGTGAAAACATCTGACATCTCTTTTATCCAGAAACTTTAAATAAGATTTCAGGAAAAGGAGAATTGCAAACATTGCATATATCAGTTTACTATAGCATTGGGCAAAACACTAGTAGAAAGGCAGAATAAAAAAAGTTATCACCAGTAGTGATAATTATGTGTTTCCTTGTATTGTCTGTGAGTTAAAACAGATTGGCAAAAGACAACCATTTCTTTTTCCAGTGCTCATCAGTTTTACATTACTTCCCAGTGAGCTGGAAGCCAAATGACAGGACAAGGAAACTGAACCATGGATGAGATAAGTCTAGGTCAGCGTTTTCTCTGAGAGAGGGATTATTTGTTCCCAGGTTGTTCTGCAGAAAACTATGATCATTTCCACATTGGAGCCTCAGCAGAGAAGGGAAAATTTTCTGTGGTTAACCTGTTTTGCCCTTAAATACTTATCCATTATAGAATTTGTTTAATTTGGTAATCATATACTGAAATAAATAATGTTTTAATTAGCTTCAATCTCCCAAGTCACAATACTCCCAATTAGTATTTCTCTTTCCTAACTTGTAGCGCAGTTAAAATACAATTTTAAGACCTTGTGCATCCTGTTATGTTTTGTGATCCAATATCAGAGAGAATTATGAAGTTACTGTGCTAAAATGTATCTCAAGGGGATCAGAGAGGAGAAATTCTCACTTTGGGCGACTAGCTCAGAAACATTGTACTCCATAGTACATCCCAGTGTAAAAGATGCTAAAAACCATTCTAGCCGTTACAATTTTGAAATGAACCTTGACTGTATGAAAATGCATGCTGTGAAGCACTATTTACTAAGAGGGAGGAAAAACTTAGGGAGCAATGAAAAGCCTCACAGATTTTATGTCATTAAAAGGCATACTTGATGATGGCAAATCCCACTGTTGTCAGGATTTCATTCATAATGGAGAAATGTAAGAAAGAAGGGAAGGAATCACTGATTACTGCAGATGAGTGAAAAATGAATATACTGTTCAAGCCCTGTAAGTAGCTTGTGTATAAAGCTTAAAAAAAATAAATCCTTCTCCTCAGTTAAGACTTTAAGGATTTTAGCAGACCTTGTGGGAACAGAACTTCCCACTGTGAGGAACGGAGCCTGAAGAGCTTAATGGCTGTTGTCATCTCCTCGCACCTGGGAGCCAGGATCAAGGAGTCAGTGCTGTTGGAGTGGTTCAGTGTCAGGATTTGTGGTGCACAGTGTGGGTGCTCCCGTGTTTCTGTAACTCCCATGGGTGCAGCTTGGAATAATATCATGAGTGTGTTTTTTCTCTTCAGTTTAACCCATGCTTTAAAGCTACAGGAGACACCAGATCTGCATCTCTGCTGCCTTGCACTTTTGAGTGTAGATGCTTTCACTGATGCAAAATAGTTGGAATGTTCTCACACCTGAACATGTTGCTTTCTACCGTCACTTTAAGAGGGGTAGGTCACAGGAGACTGCACCTTCTTTTGCTGAACAGATGATGAAATTTTAACCCCAATTGTCCAGATTCATATTTCATTTAGACCGTAGGTAAGATTGCTTCAAACCAAATGATTCCAATGTTTTGTTTATCGTCTTACAGATACTAGCATCTTCTTAATATATAATGAAGATCACAAGCGCTGTGTACTGGCTCTAAGTTCAAATTCAGTGACTACTGCTCCTTGCGTTCAAGAAAATGAATCACAGAAATTCAGGTGGGTCTCAGATCACCAGCTTATGAACATAGCGTTCAAATTGTGCTTGGGAGTGCCTTCGAAGAAAGACTGGGTTCCGATCACTCTGTATCCTTGTGACAAGGCTAGTGAACTTCAGCGATGGGAATGCAGAAATGAGACTCTCTTTGCAATCCAAGGGGAAGATTTGTTTTTCAACTATGGAAACAGACAGGAAAGGAATATTATGCTGTACAAGGGATCTGGTTTGTGGAGTAGGTGGAAAGTCTACGGAACCACAGACGATCTGTGTACTCGAGGCTATGAAGGTAAAGTTCTGTAAATTAATTTCTGTATTTCAAACTCATTTCTATGTGTATCTAATAAAAATATTTAGAAGTGTTGGAGAATTTCCTTCATTTCAATGAATGTGAATTCTGGCAAAATCAGCAATATTAGAGAGTGTGTATTATGTTTTTTGAGGGGTTCATTTTACTTTTTTGTCAAAGTTCTCAGTGTTCTGATAGATAATTAACCATGCGTGGTAGTGATTCATTTAGAGAGGGGAAAAAATGTCTATGGTTATTCAGAACATGTATATAACTATTACACAATGCTTAATGGTAGCTTTTACTGTTTACATGTGTACAGAAAGAGGTAGTGTGGGTGTATAATCTGTTGATTATATACGTATTTTTTTCTTGGGGAGCAAATATGAATTATACTGAAAGGATTTAATTAATTCCCGATATCTTCAGTACCAGCGTACTGAAGATCCCTTCCTAAGTCTTTGAAGTGAGTCTGAGTTGGTGCTGAAGTGTTAAACGAAGAAATAAGATAAATAGTTAAATTTGAAAAAGTTATGTATGATACATACATACCTATATATATATATTTCTATGATAAGTATCTGGGAATACATTCAGCTTCCCATTTAGTATCCTTTAGTAAACAGAAACGGGCACAGAGGAAGGTAAGGATGCATTTTCTAGGGTTTACACAAAGGCTGATTACAGTACTAGTCCTTGATCTAGAGCTAGAATAAAAGAATCCCAGCAAAGCAAATTACGTGAAAGGAGGCAGGGGGGAGATGGAGTGATGGCCTGCCATTCCTTCCTCCTTTGTTTTTTAGCAGCTCTGTGAGACAGTGACCTTGGTATGTCACCTCTCTAGCAGAACCTCTCAAGCAGTGTTCCTCTGTATGTCACCCCATCAACGCACGTGCATTACTTACGCACACACAGAAAGCTGATTTTGTTACTTTGATAAGTTTAATTGAGTCAGGTTTCTGATGAAACATGAATTATCTTTAGATGTGAATGGAAATTTTTTGTGAGCACAGTATATTGGAGTCACTCTGTGGTATATGCCTTTCAAGTTTATATGTACATGCTCTTCCCTGTTTAAAATGGTCACCAATTCAGTGGGTTACTGACCCAAGAATCAGCAGTTGTTTGTGTGCTAAAAGAAAATTGTTTAACTGTGTGGATTTTATACTTTTGATTGTTATGAATGTAAAATTTAGCATGGAAATGTACTTGTTTTGGCTCAGTCAGTTCTGGTCAGTGGTCTACTTAAGCAATAAAAATTTGTCTCATAGTGGACATGGGTATCACCTTAGACCTAGAGAGTAAAATTATCAATGTTCCATTTCTAGTACAGTTTGTATACTAAGCTATCAAGCTCTGCTTGATCTTATATGCTGTAATTGGTCATAAATCTGAACTGATATATAGCCCATGTTTATTACTGCTTATACATTTTTAAATTGCTGTTTCTCCTCAGATACCTACACATTGAAAGGAAATGGCAATGGAGCACCTTGCGTATTCCCTTTTAAGTTTGGTGGTAAATGGTATGCTGACTGCACAGATGCTGGCAGATCAGATGGCTGGTTCTGGTGTGGAACCACTTCAGACTTCGATGTTGACAAGTTATATGGATTTTGCCCATTGAAATGTAAGTTTTCTGTGTTCAAGATTCTGCTGTGCTGTTATTCAGTTGCCTGGAAATACTGGTGTCCTTGTCATGTGCTTTACTGTACAAAATGCAGTTTGAAATAGTGCACTTTTATGTCTCCATGCAGCCTGCTATCCTTTTAGGAACTAGTTAAATATGCAAATATAGGGTTTAACATAAAAAAAATTGAACAACTACATCCAGGTGAGAGTGTGTTAATTGTATGCTAGAATCTGTAATTATTTGTATACTGGAATCTGTAATTACACCATTTACTTAAATAGAAAGATAATTAGATGTAACGATGTTACATTAGTATATGCGAAAGGCCGTGTAAAAGTTTGTGCAGCAGAATTGGAAGCTAGAATATAGTTTAGCTGAAAATGAAGACTACTTTGTAGAATGAGTTGCCTTTTAAATGTGAAGGAGCTTACATGAACTTTTTACTAAATCCCAGTATTTCTCAAGTCTGTGGGCTACATTGCAGTTCTGTATTTAAAATCAATGAGTAATATTTATATTCTACATTCCCTGGTTTGAGTATAACTAGAGTTTCAACTGTAGTGTTATGAATATACAGAACTTTATTTAGAAAGGTTGATATTACTTTAAGTAAATTGGAGTAATATGCCTGTACAAATTTGAATTATTTTTAATTTAAATAAAATTTCTCTGAACTTCTTTAACGTGCAAGGTGCTGCTGCTTCTGTCATGCTGAGAGAGGCAGAACTTCTCCCTCCTTTCTTCTTTATTACTATATTTTGCTGTAAATCTCCAGCTGACCTCAGTCAGAGCTAAGGAAAAAACTATGTCTTTCCTTTGGTGTCAAGAAAGCAGTGTGGGTTGATCTTAACTGGTTTCATGATGAAGTATCAGCGTCCTTGTATGATTTCCATGAATGTTGCACTCATTACTTCAGACAAATAAAAAATTTGCATGTTATTTATTTTTCTTGGTTTGTTTTTATTTTTTTTCTTTCTGTGCCAGTATTATTTTCAAGATATTAAAAATATGTTTGGAATATAAATCCCGTTACTACAGTACATACAAGATCACCTTAAGAATGTTACCTGTCTAGCATTCTTTGAGTAAAGCAAATAGAAGGCATCATTAAAGTTTTGTTTGATTCTTTGGCATAATTCAAGGAAATCCATTCAGATTGCTGTGATTGTTTTTGGAAAAAGCTGCTTTATGCTGATTGCCTGCATGTTTCCTTCCTGATTTTTCAGTACTGGCTATAAAATATTCAAGTTTGGGTCATGTATTTTAATGAGAGACAGGCTGGGGTGTCAGAAGTTTTAGTCAGCCATCTAAGCTCATAAACTTCAGCAGCACCTTTAAACATAGAATGTGTAAGTTTCTGTATGTTAAAGTTTATTTAATAAGATTAAATTGTTTGTTGTTTCTTTTGGGGGAGCAAAGGTGCTGATATGGACATATGTGATGCAAACTATTACAGCTCTTCATACTGGGGCATGGACACACTGGGAAATTATAATGATTGAACCAGTTGCTTTTTTTCTTTGTGAGCAAAACCAGCTCAAATGCTTTCCAAAATGAAGAGGGCATAAGACTACTTGTAACAGTTATTGTAGCCAATAGCGGTGTAGAAATTTAACCAGTGGAGGTAACATAATTGTGAGTACCACCCTATATTTGTTGCTTTAAAAAGAGATGCTAATACAGTGACCTTAAAAACTTAAATGCCACAGGAAGACACTGAGCAGTGTTGCTAAATCAGGCAATTTTTAGCAGCCTAGGAAATACTGTTTTTTTACAGATTACACTGTGTCTTTTTCAGCTGTGTGTTGCACTGCAGTCTGAAAAAAGATGTTGGGGAAAAGAACAGATGGCACACGGGAAGACCATTAGGAGAGTAAGTCATGAGGTGTGCCTATAGCTATATTCAAGTAGGCAAAAGTCCATTGAGGCCCCTTTCATGATAGATGAAAGAGCTAGAACTTTTGTGAAGAATTTAGAAAGCCTTACAAGTGATGCATAAAACTTGCAGCTGACTAGGAAGGAAACAAAAAGTGCAGAGAATGAAGAGATGTTTAAATAGTCTTAGCCTGGTATGTTATTAATTATTGGGCAAATCTATATTCTTGTATTCATTCACAAATACTGAATTTATTTTTTATGACAGGCTTTTTCCCCACGCTGGTGTTTCAAGATGTTTTAAAGGGTTTTTCATTGTGGTTTTAGGCCTGGTTCAAAATGCCTGGTGAATTGATCAACTAAGTTGCATGGGGTAATTCGTGTTATTTCTTTTGATTTATCTGGAACTTACAACCTGACTTTGGACCGCACAATTTTATCTAGGAAAAAGAAAGATAGGAGCATTTTAAGAAAAGATATCTAAGTGGAGATAGGTGTGTGAACGAAGTTTAGTACACTTTAGACTTTCTTACTATTGACAGCATTAAATCTTTATATTATAAATTAACATCAACTGTAGTGTCTTTATTGTAAGGTTTCTTCCCTACTGTACGCTCAGAAAGGAAGTGATAGCAGTTATTTTATAGACTGTCTGACAGTTTTTGTTTGCAGTGATTCTATTCATTCAGTTTCCAAGGATATTGGACTGAGACTCCACCTTGTTTTGGGTGGATAACTAAACAAACAAGAACATTTTTATTGTTACTGCTAGTCAAAGGCCAGATTTCAGCTTGCAATTTTGAAATGGAAATCTCTCAAGACTGTTACCAATCTCCTGATTCTTCCATTTCCTAATTCAGGAGGAATACTGTATTTTGCCTTGACAATCATGTTGGCATTTCTTTAATTATAAATGTCATAAACATCTGCATTGGTCAGGATTTTACTCCTTTTCTGTAAGTTTGAACTTACTTCTGTAAGTCTGTCAAGAGCTATACCTGAAATTCAATGCACTTTTGGTCTACTTTGCTTCGAAGACTGAGAACTTTCAAAGTTCTGACTTAACGTGTTGTACTTTGGGGACTTTGGTAGTAACCATAGCGGAAATAGCTAGTTCTCACTAACTTCAGTGTATGCAAAAAATGCATGCTGAATTCATCTGTGTAGGGATAAAGTTCAGCTTTTTAATTCTTTTTCCAGTTATGTACTAAGGACAGGTGTGGTTTAACATTAATTTAGTTTAGATGCTAAAATATATCATTCCAGAAAAGTGATTTATCTTCTGATTTCTCTGGGGATACTAAGCTTTAAACAATAGCACATAGGTTTTCCAGAATCCTGCTCTGTGAAGGTATTAGACCTCCTAGAACTCAAATATCTTAAAAATAATTTTTCCAAGTTTCCATGGACTTCATTTTTATGAAAGACCAAAGTTCTATAGAAGAGCACCATATGCAAGTCAACTATAAATTATGAGACTGGGGGAGCGAGGTGGAAGGTTGGATGAATGCCTGAGTCTCTATTTACCTCTTCCTCGGTAATAATTGTACAAGATTTATAAAACCCTTTCTATCAAGCTAGAGCCAGTTTTCTTTACTGAATTATAGATTTTAATATTTTTGCAATCTCCATTTTATCCCTGGCTTGTGCTTGTGCACAGGAATTTATGATCTTGTACAACATAGTTTGGTGAAGAAACTTTACCTTCTGATTGTCATAAAATATTTTGGACAGAAGATGATTTGTGGATAATGATAGTGGGATGGAAGTTCCCATTTTTAGTCAAATGTTGATATTACAGCAGGTTATGTTCGATTTTTTTTTTTTTTTTCCTAAGGCTAATTTGAAAAGAAGCACTTCATGTTATCTATAGACTATCAGATTTAATATAGGAAAAAGTGGAACTGGTTACTGACCTGCTGACACTTAATATGTATCATCCTTTACCTTGAGTCTTGTTTATTGTACTGTTTTCTGAGCTCTGTGAATTTGGAAAACACCTCCTTCTCAAATTTTTCACAGCTTGCAACTTGAGAAACTCTGACACAGGTTGCAGGAATTTCAGTCTTTTTCCCATTGTCAACAGACATACGATGACCTCTGCTGTATTCTGCTTTTGTCATGCATTTTTCATCTCTTTATGGAGTGATATTTAGCTTAGTGTTGGGGCCTCTTGTGGTTCCATTTTCGGCAGCGCAAGATCACACTGTTGTCTATTGCTTGTTGTGGGGAGTCAATTCAGACGAGCCAGGAAAGGCTGCAATGGTATAAGGAGCGTGGTACCTTCTGGGGCCACTCCTAGTGTTGGGCCCTGCTGGATGACTTTTTCACTGATTTAGCATTGCCTAAAAGTGCCAAGTTTAGATATTCAAGGAGATCACAGTGAGGTCATGTGACAGAGGAGAAAGCATGGTGGTATGAGAGATACATGCGTAAGACAAACCAGGAATTGCAGGAAAGGGTGAGATGGATGCTGATAATGTAAGTTTTGTACTTACACAAAATCTTGCAGTACACAAAATTTGTAAAAAAAGTGTTTGTTTTTTTTTTTTTCTCTCAGAAAAGCAGTCAGCTTGATGTGTGTCTTAGCTAGCATAAGTCTGGAAGTTTTTAGTCTTTTTCTCCACAGTGACAAATCAACTCTGTTAGCATGACTTTAGCCACTCAACTTCTATCTTAAACAGCAGCTTTATTATACCAGAGGTATAACCTCTGACTTTGTTTCATTACTTGTGTACTGTCCAAAACACCTGTCACGATTTAGCTCTGCCCTGGATTTACTGAAACATCAGAGACCCTCAGGACTCCTTTCACATCAGTTCTCTGTTGCAGTGGTTAGGTTTGCATAGTTTTGCTAAGTGATTTATTCTATATTTTTTCTGTCTCCGTCTTCATGATCAATTACAGCATTTTTTTTTTCTCCCTACAGTTAATAGTGTTGATTTGTTGTGGAATACTGATCCTTTAACAAATGTCCAGTACCAGATAAACACTGAGGCAGCTCTGAAGTGGCACCAGGCAAGAAAAAGTTGTCAACAACAGAAGGCAGAGTTATTAAGCATCACAGAGTTGCATGAACAAACATACCTGACAGGTAGGGTAATGTTATCCATCATTTTCTTTAAAAAAAGTGCGTTATTGTTAACAGTGACACTTATATAGCATGTTACATCCTGAAAAGAGATATTTGTTCAATTCTGGTAATTAATAGATTTAAATTGTTATCTTGAATGATTCAGCTGGAAAAATCGAACAGATAGTGATTATTTTACCCTGATTTAATATTGCCAGAAACTTACAGTAACATAAAAAACACAGCAATTAAGTAGGGCAAACAATAAAGAAGGAATGTTAGAATGCAGGAAAAGGCAAAATAGTTTGTAAACCAAGGATACAGATACGAAGATTACATCCTTTTTGTGCTCTACGTGTTGTGTGTACGAGTCAGCATGTTTGGCTTTTCTCTTCAAAGCTGTCATATCATCAGCACGTGCTAAAATATGAATAGAAAGAAAAAGAACTAATAAGCAAAAGGACTTACAAATAACTTGTTTTATTTTCAGTCTCCTTCAATGTTTTTTGAAGTAATTTCCAAACTTCTGCTTTGAGAAAATTCAGTCCTGAATTTGTGCTTGAAAACATTTACGTTCTACAATGAGACAGTCTCCTCTTTATTACCTTCTTAGCCTGAGTACACACGAGTAGCACGAGTAGTCTACTAATGTCTGTGAAGTAGATTAGAAAATATTTTGAATATGTTACATCATATGCTACATGTTGCACTATGTAAGTTCAGAGAATCAGAGAATGGTTTGGATTGGAAGGGTCATTTAAACATCCAGTTCAACCTCCCTGATATGGGCAGGGACATCTTGCACTAGATCAGGTTACTTAAAGCCCTATCTAACCTGACCTTAAAGACTTCTAATGATGGTGGTCCACAACCTCTCTGAGCAACCTGTTCCAGTGTCTCACTTATGTCCAATTTCAATCTACTCTCCTTCATTTTAAAACCATTGCCCCTTGTCCAGACACTCCAGGCCCTGGTAAAAAGTCTCTCTCCATCTTCCTTACAAGCTCCCTTTATATAATGAAAGGCTGTGATAAGATCTCCCTGGAGCCTTCTTTTCTCTAGCCTGAACAACCCCAACTCCCTCAGCCATTCTTCACAGGAGAGGTGTTTCAGCCATCCGATGATTCTTGTGGCCCTCCTCTGGACCTGCTCCAACAGGTCTTTCTTGTACTGGGGACTTGAGAACTGGATGCAGTACTGCAGGTGGGGTTTCACATAAGGACTGGAGGGGAAGAATCACCTCCCTCGACCTGCTGGCGACACTTCTTTTTATGCAGCCCAGGATATGATTGGCTTCCTGGGCTGCGAGCGCACGTTGCTGGCTTATACCCAATTTTTCATCCCCAAGACCTTCTCCGCAGGACTGCTCTCAATCCATTCATCTCCCAGTCCGTACTGATATTGAGAATTGCCCTGACCCAGGTGCAGGACCTTACACTTGGTCTTGTTGAACTTCATGAGGTTCACACGGGCTCATTCCTCAAGCCTGTCAAGGACTCTCTGGATAGCATCCCTTCCCTCCAGCATATCAACTGCACCACTCAGCTTGGTGTTGTCTGCAAACTTGCTGAGGGTGCACTTGATCCCACTGTCTTATGTCCTTGATGAAGACATTTAATGGTATCAGTCCCAATACAGACCCCAGAGGGACACCACTTGTTACTGGTTTCTATTTAGACATCGAGCTGTAACTTTTTGGATGCAGCCATCCAGTCAATTCCTTATCCATATACTAATCCATCCATCAAATCCATGTTTCTCCAATTTGGAGGAATAATAAATGTATTTTTATGTTATGAACAGTCCGTTCTGTCTAAACTTCTGTTTTTAATTTAAGGATTTCGTCAAAACCTGAGTCTTTTTTTATTTTACTCTATGATGAAATTATTGTTGAAATTAATGCTCAGGGGAACAATCTGGCACTGACATATAGAAGTGAGTTATTAGTAGGTGTGTTTTAATGGCAAACTAGTAGATATTGCTGCCAAATATATGTGAAAACCAGTTTTTCATTCTACAGCTCTCCTGGCAGAACCAGGATTTCCTGTCATGCTCAGTTCTTGATTATCTTAACCACAGCTTGTTTGTGTAGAAGTAGTACTGGAACACATCAATGTGTTGGTGCCAAATCAGGCTCTGTTATGACATTTCAGTCCTTTCCAGTGCTTAACTACCCTTCCTTTTAACCTTGCCATGCTTCAAGTCCTACCCGTAATCATGGTGTCAAAGACAACTAAAATATATAGAGCAGAATTACATACTGGTATGATGCCATCGGTAGAAGCAGTACTAAATAAATATATTTTAATTCAGAAAAATCAACCGTCATTGAACTGGGCTTCCGAGTCTTATACGAAGGGCGGAGATAGACAACTGATGAATTCTCTAGCATTATTAACAGTCATTATTAATCAGGGCCGTAGTTAACCATGATATTTCTAGGTGCTTTTCAGAACTGGTTTTAGAAGCCTGAGTAATCTTTGCCTAAAGAAGTTAAATCAGATCAGTCTGAAAAATGTATGGGATGTGCTGTTAAAAAGATGATGTTTGGAATGATTGCATTTTAACGTAGTTTGATAAAATGCAAACAGTTTTTTTACTTTACAGTATTTTGTAAATGTGAAACTCACATTTGTTAATTTGTTAATTTTATTGGAAGAGAAAATGCACAATAGGAAACTATTCACATTTCATTTTAGAAAACTGATTTTTGGTCTGGTTACCTTTTCTGCAACTTTATCAATTTAATATTTTATAATTCTGGGAAAAAAATATTTGTTTTATAGTTGTGATCATCAGTTTACAAAGAGCATGCAGAAGTGTAATTTCATTTTCTATTCTAATACAATTCTCCACACCTAAAATTGTGAAAACTCTAAAACCGAAGTGACTCATGTAAAATGACATGTTGTGCAGGTTTAGCACAGTCACCTTAACTAAAAGGTTACAAGTTGTTAGAACTTGTACTGGGAAAAGGAGAAACAGATGGTTTAGCTAGGATTCAGCTCTCTAATGTTAAACAAGTCTTTGCTCTTTCTGTGCACTTCCAGTATGTGTCTCTGTCTCTGTTACCCAGGTTTGACTGGCAGTCTGAGTTCTGCTCTCTGGTTTGGTCTTAACAGTTTGAACTTCAACAGTGGATGGCAATGGGTTGGTGGTGCTCCTTTTCGGTACTTAAATTGGGTTCCAGGTAAGGTGAAATATGTTGCTACTCAGTTTAAAAGGCAAAAATTTGGTCACCGTGAAACGCATTTCTTTTCTAGTACTCTATTCTCCTGCAATTATTGAGCTTTTTTTGATATTGAAAGATTGTGACTGTGGCTATAAACACTGTGAGTAATGGACGTTATGCTAAGGATACACACTGGGCTTAATTTATTATTCAGGATGGAAATAGTAGCCTTAAAATCCAGAGGAAAGTTTTAAGTCATCTGTTTACATTTCATTTCTATATCTTCTTAGTTTACTTTATTTCTAGATGAATATAGAATAAATAAATCTGATGCTATAGGTGTCTGCATTTGTGAGATTAGATTGGTCAGTGTAAGTTTGGTTGCTTGTTTATTTTTTAAATTCCTTTCCAGTTTGTTTTGGTTATTTGCTTAAAGATTAGACACTCTTTTTTGTTTGGAATTAACCTACCCATGGTAGTAACCCATAGAGAACTGAACATGTTAGCCTAGTCTGCTTTGAAGCGAACCCAGCTACTTCACCACTGCATTGGCAACGTTGAACTCCGGTGCCATTATTAAAAAGCTAGTCTCCCGTGCCATCTGTACACATGGTGAAGAAGAGGTGTTATTCCAGTTTATTATTCAGAGTGCCTGTGTGAAGGTGGCTTTTTGCAGGACCCTTGTTCCTTTGCACTGGCTATTCGGGAAGCCTTTGGAAACTAATTTAAAGTAGATGTCTGGAGTTATGCAGTGTAAATTATTCTTCTTTGTTTTCATTGAGCATGTCACATGTATTTAATCTGCAGTAACTATAAACGCACACTCCATCGTATCACACAGTGGCTTCCTTGTGTAGATAAGACCAAAAGCAGGTTTTAGGTGGACAAACATCTTGAGTAGGTAAGCTTTGAAGAGTGAATTGAACTACTTTATAAATAGCTCTCCAATGGAGTGGGGACACAAGGCAAACAGAGGGGCTGAATTGCAAGCTGCTGTGAGGGTATTTATAGGTCTGTTGTCCAAGTGTGCTGATGGTGACCTGGATGTAACGAAGACTGGAGGAAAACTGACTGTGATGTGGAGTCAAAACAGCAAGGGGAGCTGTTCATGGTTGTCAAAACTGCAGACAAGTCTCAGTTGTCCTGTAAAGAATTAGATGAGTTTTAGTGTAACTAAAATGGGCTCCACTTGTCATTGATTCCTCATGTTCCTTGATTTCATTCAAAGATAATGCTCTTAAGTCCTTGTAACCCATTTTATTTTTTTTTTTGCTATCTCCTTCATTACTTTACTTTGGTCAGCCCACCTCTATCTCATCTCAGTTATCCTGGATGTTCAAGAGCTGACTGTTCTTCCACTAGTGTGTTTTAAAAGGATTTGTGGAACCTTCATATTCTTCCATCTCACTAGCCCTAAATAATAACAGAAAAACATGGGAATGAAGTTATCAACATTTAGACTAAAACTATGCTGGTTAGGCATTTGAGAGAGCTAACTGCCAACCGCTGAACTTTTTTTTGTACATTAAAACAATTTAAAGTTGTATTTTTGAAGTAAGCATTAACTCCTTTTCCTATGGGAAGAAGATATAACATGACTGCAAATAGAAGACTAATTGTAATCTAATGAAATCATAATGATATAAGAAAATTTTCAGTGAACACTCTTGCACACTAAAAACTATTGTTTTGCTGTGTTTATTGCTGAGCAGTACTGACGCTTGCTTGTTATGTAGTATAGTGGCATGTATTCAGAAATGAAAGAAAATCTGTGTTGAGTTGGATCAGATCAGATTAGACCAGATCTTGAAAAGTTCGTCCAGTTTATTGCGGAAATGTGTTCTGTTCTGCAGGTTCTACTTTTCTTCTAGATGTTTCTGTTAGTGCTAACACTAATCTTCAACTGAAAATATCCAAATATCCTGCTATTGTCATACTGTTTAGACAAGTGGTCAAAAAGTTCACATTAGCAAAAGAATGACTTATTATTTTTCTGTCATTACTGTTATACTAAGCACAGAATTTAACTAGCTTACTGAACAGTGTATTCAACTAAAGATTGTCCTTCGGAGTTCATACATTCTTTGTTTAGCAATGGAAAAACCCAAACAAAATAAATACATGCACTGAAATACCTTCTATCAAGACTTTGAACCTGTGAAGATGGAGTTAAATTGAGACCTGGATAAATATCTCAACTTGTGGTTGCTGTGAAAAAATATTTTGTAAGGGAATGAACTGCCCTCTTTGGTCTAAAGGACTGTTGAGAATCGTAAATTTCTATATGTTAATGTGTCTTGTAATTAAAGCATGGAATAGATTAGAATGTAAGAGTGATTGGGAAGGTAACCATGATGTGCTTATACTTTGTTGTGGTTTTTTTTTGTTTGTTTTTTTTAAAGGACATCCTTCTCCAGAACCTGGAAAAATCTGTGCAGCATTAAATCCTGGCAAAGGTGCTAAGTGGGAGAATCGGGAATGTGATCAGAAGCTTGGCTATATTTGTAAACGAGGAAACGCTACTTTAGAATCTTTCATTATTCCTACAGGTATGTTTGATAACAAACCCTCAACAAATTGTTAATGACCAGTGTTTTTTATCTGTAATTCATTAGAACTTGTTATTGCGCATGGTGAAACAAAGCAAAGGTCTCTGCAGACTGTGGCTTGACCAACATTCCGTATAGAAATAGACAGTGTGTACTTCCTTTTCGTTTGGCCTCCCTACTTCCTGTGCAGTAATCTTTCTTCAGTAGCTTTGAGTTCTAAATTGTGGAAATGTTGGAGTTCTCTTTTCCAAAAACAAGCAGAACTGTCAGATTTTGTTCATAAAATAAAAAGAGAAATAATATAATGTTTAAAAAAATGTTTTGGTTATCTAAAGCCCCATGTTCTCAGTGAAACTAACCTATTTTTTCTTACTGTCATTTTTGCTACTTAGGAAGTAGGGTAAGTTTGACAGTACAAATTGGTAATAGCCTAGAGGAATTTTTAAAAATTCTTTTGAGAAAGTTAAATATTTTTTTATATATCTATCTATTTTATAAATAGATATACATTTGTATATCGATATAGAGATTATTTCTTTATATATATATAAAACCTATTTAACTTATTTTTGAAATTATTTAAATTATATATAGAGAGACACTTTTTCAGAAGAAGTGTAATTCTGGCATTTGCCTAATTACATAGGAAAGACAACACAAGGATAAGTTCTCATAGCTTTTTTTAGATCTGTTTCTTTATTCTCGGTGTAATATAATTGACCTTGTAACTCATTCCTTTATTTCATTACTCCTTCTTTCTGTTCTTTCCTAGTTTCTTTCTCTTTCTGGGACATACAGGCATCTCCTAAATCCACTGACATTATATTCTATAGGTTTTAGAAGCAGAAAGTTAAACCATTACTGGATTTTCAGTTCATTTTTAACATGCAATATTAGCAAAGTGGATCTTTTGGAAACTCAGTGGTTGACATTTTGCTTAAAAACCATGGGTTTTAATGTTTTTTCTGCTTTTGCCAATATATAACCAGTCTAGTCAAAAACATTTAGGGCAGAGACTTCTGCTTATTTGTTTTGCTTTATTACTAAGAGAAAAAAAAACAAACACGAGAACGAGCTAGTGTCTCAATTAATTATATATTGAAATAGATATTTAATACTTAAATTAATACTTCAGTATTGAAATCAAGCATATTTTTTGCCTTAGCTGAGAAAGACTTTAGTGTATATTTTAATTTTTTCCTAAATTAATATGTAAAGATTTATTAGTATTTATATACAGCTGGTAAGCAGATAGTTTAATTTATATAGATTGTTTTAGATTGTTCCATTGGCTACTGCTCAGCTTTTCAGGTTTCATATGTCAGTTCTTAAAAACTGAAACCTCGAAATATCCTATCGATTCAGTACTGGCTGCTATCTTATTTAGATTTAATTTCAGTGTAGTGGTGTCTAATGGCCATTTCTTTCTTATGCATTGGGGTTTTGATTCTTCTCCCCTCCAGTTTACCAGTAATTTGGAGGAAGAACAGAAATGAGACGAAAGTTTTCAATTGTACAAAAATTGCTGATTAAACACAGTGACAGATTAACCAGAGATTGGCAGTGATTCACTTCATAAAATATTTTCCAAAATGTCCCGTGGGAGGAAGTCATAAAAGGGATAAGTATGCGATCATGCAAGGTGTTAAGTGCCCTCAGCTTCTAATGATGTAAAGGAAAACTCGTGGCAGATGATGTTTTCCTGTCTAGGGCTCCTGAGTCAAGAAATAAATTAATCATAAATTCATACATGCACTTAGTTGTGCACCTACCATCAAACACACAGGCAATCCTTTCAAATTTTAACCCTAGAAGTTACAATTGAGTCTGACAAGGCGCTATGTGACGACTTGGGACAGAAGAACACGTTACGACAGAATATAATCATATTTGTGTCCAAAACAAAGTAGAGAAAAATCTTTACAGAATATTTATTTTTGTTGAAGATTAAGATTTTCACAAAGCCAACAGCTGTGCAGGGTTTTTTGTAGCAGAAGTGTTTTTTCCAGCAGTTGACCACATCGTTGTATAAATATGTGACGTAGAATCTTAGGGCTTCAAAGCATTTACCCTGTAAGACAGCAAAGTCAATTAATAGGACCCTGTTCATTTCACCTGCAAAATTTGCTATTTTTAAAACTTATTTTTCTAATGAAAGGCTGTCTGTCTACCATCAAGTGACTGCCAAAACAGAGTTCATCCCAATTCAAAAATTTGTTTTCAAATATATCATAAAACATTCGATAAGAGGAAACAAATGCTCTTAGTGTCACTGTTGTAACTGCTGTGTGAGCTCTCTTTTATCAGACCATGGGGGACGAGTGTGAGAGTGAGAAATTTGAATGCTTGAATCATGAGACACACTTCAGCGAGTGCTTTCACCCTTTTAGACACCCAAGTCAATCGCTGTGAGGTCTTCAGACTTCAGGAAGCCCAGCTTATACTTATACAGAAGCATTTGTTCTCTATTTGAGGAATAACCATTTTGTGCCTACAAACTTCATTTTTGTCTCTGGATCTATTCCACAGTAAATTAATCAGCTTGACATTTGGGATAACGTTTTTTTACACATTAATGTGATTTCCTTTGTTACATCTTCTTTGTTGTAACTTGCATTGCTTCTTTTGCTTAAGTCAAATGAAGTTCAGGGACAAGTGCTTGTTTCCATTAGGATGGAAAATAGATTGTATGACTTTGTGTTGTCATGTATTTTCTTCAAAAGGAGAATAGGGAAGCACGGAGTTTATTTTTTGCCGAGTACTGGAAATGAAGAACTGAAGACTTTCTGTGAAGTCCTCAGCTATGTCATTTGATAAGATTTGCACCAAAGAAACTAGACTGTCAACTGCTTTTCTTTTTTTTTTTTTGGCCTGCAACAAATTCTCTAGTTTTACTGGATTTACAAGCAAAAAAGCCTCCCACTCTGTCATAGCTGCTTTAGTGTTTACAGTAACAGTCTCAAAGTCTCCTCTGGTCTGAAAAAGAGACTCTCACAGACTCACTGAGGAATAAATACCTTTGTGGTCTCTGTAGCCATGTCTGAACTGCTGATGTCTGTTCTATTCAGTGTTTACAGTTTGCAGAAGGGTGCATGAAGTGTGTTGGAGGTATATATAAGCCTAGATTTTTTTTCAAGGCAATTTTCTGACTATTACAGCAAAACACTATAAAATGTGTATGTTTAGAGCTGAGACCAGACATAGGAAAAATTAAGCAGCTGTCTGAAGCATCTGACTAACCTCTATAACATATAGCATTTACTACCTCTGTCCTCTCTCGTTTCTCCCAACATGACCACGTACATTCAGTTTGTTCTTCCCGGGTTCCCCTACTCTCTGTTCCAGTTCTTCCTCTCAGGATTGACAGGGGTCTGACCAAGTGCTGAGCCCCTTGTCCTGGGATGTGTCATGAATCCACATTCAGGATCCTGCCAGCTATGCCAAATTGTCATGAATGGGTGATTTAGGTCACTTAAAGATTTACCATCAAAGGTATTAGCAGAAGTGCCTTTAATATGATGTTGTAAAAGTGCGACTTAAAAGAGTTCTATGGCAAGGTTCACTGTATTAATTACTGCATGGAAGAAGCACAGAAAGGAAAATTGAGTTAGACTAGAGTTAGACCAATTCACAGAGAGACCAGAAACATAAAGGGTAAGGAAGACCCTCCCATTGAGTCACGAGGTTCAGATTGGACCCCCTTGCTTTCTAAACTCCTTCTCAGAGAGGAGTCTAGGTATGGCTGGATCCAGACTTTGTCAACGGTTTATGTCTAAAGGTTTATATACGCGAGGTTTATAATGTTTCATTAGCATCAATTCAGCAGCATGCAATCAAAGCTACCGAGGCAAAATCAGTTACCATACTACTAAGGTTATGTGTGATGTCAGTTGTTAACAAAAGATTTACCGTTGGTTAAAGGTCTCTCTGCCTTGAGAAGCAACCTTGAGAGTTGTCCCAGCTCAAGAGGAAATCACTGCCATGCAGCCACACCACCTACCAGAGAGAGCTCAAAGAAGGATTAGGCTTAGGCTGTTGTATTTTTAGGATAAAGTGGTTGACTCATTGTCTAATTACATGTGATGGAAAAGGTATGCATGAGAGTCCTCTACCCACAGCTTGCTTTGTTCCTTGATGAACGACTCTTGGAAAAGCCACCTGCTAATCATGTGTTAATCGCATGATTAGTGTTACAAGCCCATCTGCACTGATGCTCAGTGTGTCATTCTGCTCCTTTGTGGGTTTTCAGAGAACAGAGTGAAACGAGAGGAGTTCATGGCCTGGCTATGGCTCAGACCTTTACCTCTTCCAGAGCCTCACCGAACCACTGCCAGCCTGCTCAAGGAATTGAGCGCACCTGCCACAGGATGATAAAGTTCAGTTTTACTTAAACTTTGTGAGAACATGCTAGCAATTTTTTGAGGCAGGTCTGCAAATAACAGACTATGTTTGTAGCTGTACTAGAAATCTGTATTGTGACACCAAGTATCTACTAATAATCATCATATTCCAGTTGAAACAGGATATGTGTTTGCAACCTGATCCTGACTGGTCATGACTTTGGAAGCCTATTTAAATATTTCCATGGAATATACCCCGCTGTCATACACAAAGACATTCCTTCTCCTTCCCTGGCATACGCAAGATTTTTTTGCCAACAGAATTTCTGCAAATTTTCTATCCTTGTTCTACTTGCTATATTGGTGTTTGCTAAACCCATCTGCTATTATAAATAAAGTGCTGCAAGAATTATAATGTTTGTACAACAGCAATATTCTTTTTATTATATGTTCAGGTGGCGCTCCTCCCGAGGCTGAATTGTTTGCTGAACAGCAATGTGGTTGTTGGCAGTAGTCTGCTGCTGGTCTGTTGAACTTTTAAAAGCAAGTTTTAAGCATAAATCATTTACTGATGATGTATCATTTTCTCAATGGAGCTTTTAGAAAGGATTCCTAAAAGCAGTATTCTTATGTGAGTTCTCTTGTGATCCTGTAGAACCAGTTATTTTTTTCTTTCTTAGTCTAGCAAATGGGGCTAATACATAAAATGCCTAAGGTTTGGAGAAAAAAATGAATCTTATGTTTTGTAAGTCCAGATTCTTAACATATAGTTATACAGCATGGAGGAGGAAGAGAAATGCTGACGTGAGTGTAGAAAAATGATAACGCACAGCTCTGCAGACCTTACCTTTTAATACATATATATGCATATAAGTCAAAACTGTGGTTTATGGTAATTTTTGATTTTATCTTTTCACAAGTTGCAAGCACTTGTTTGCAACTGTAGTGTTCTGGAAAAAAAAATCTGGAAGTTTCAGCTTCTAATCATACATGCAGATTATTACCCCTGCACATATTTTTCCGCTCTGCTGTTCTTCGTGAAGAAAATATACAATTAAATTGTTTGTTAAATCTTTCCTTATATGATTTTCACTCTTTAGTTAAGAACAGAATTCTGAAACTCTTCATGGTCATTTTTCTTTTCAGAGACTAATGTGCCAATTAGATGTCCTGATCAATGGACATCATATGCTGGTCACTGTTACATAATTCACAGGGACCCCAAAATATGGAAAGATGCTGTAACATCTTGCAGAAAAGAGGATGGAGATCTGGCAAGCATCCATAATGTTGAAGAGTACAGCTTTGTTATTTCTCAGCTTGGGTACCGTGAGTAATTTTTTACAATAACATGTATATTTATACTAAGGAAATAAGGAGTTTTGATATGTTGTACCTATTAATAAAAGGAGGAGACTGCTTAAAAAAAAATATTGTCCAGATCACAAGATGCAGAATGAGTTAAAATTTAAATTTTAAAAAGCTTTGGAAGAAAAAAAATCACAACAAGAGCACAAAAAACAAACCAACTGTACTGCCACAGAAAGCTGCGGTCAATGTTGTGAATTGCATCAACCTCAGACTCCTATTTTATTAGGGTCTGCTTAGACCTCCCTTTTACAGATTAAAATGATTTTCAATCTTTTCAGAAACTGGAAAGATTTTTACTATTGGCCTGCAAAGACAGATGAGAGGAAACAAAGTCTGTTGGTCAAAGACAGTTAGGTAAGATCTGGATCCTGTTATCAGAACTGCCGTGTCCTTATTTTTCAAATCATACTGCTTGTGTTTCGTCTGAAAGAGAAAGAGGAAGCTATTTGTCTCAGTATGGAGATTCAGATGTGCCCTAAATTAAGTATGGTACTTAGGTGCTATGTTTCTCAGCATACACTTGGGTTGTTGCAAGGCAAGTTAGGCTACAGATGCTGTGTGTTCATTAGGGCAGGTGCAACCATGCTGATGCTGAGGCAATTTTGTGGTTGCTGTTGCTTTACATGGACCAAATTTTGCATGTAGGATCAATTACTGCTTATTGATGGCAGGAGAGTATTCACGCTTATGTATTCTTCTTTGCAGAAGATACTATGTGTGCTTTTAGTGGCAGCTAAATGTGAGCTAGTTTATCCTTCACTGAAAGTGCAGTAAGCTGCCTTGGGCGGCAGCGTAACAGCAATATTGGAGTGGCAATCATAAAATAACTGATATGCTTTAGTTTTGTATCCTAGCCAACTCCATGGCAACTTGTGCTTGTCCTCACTTTCCTCAAAGAGTGATTTGTTATTCTTTCATGAACAAGAAGAAACTTTTGCTCTTTCAAAGGAGACTGTCAGGAAAGGTGAGACTTCTTGATGAGACATTAGGACATCTGAAAGAAGTTGGGCTCTAAAGGAAATTAGATGTATTTTTCACCTTACTCCTTGGAAATAGATTATTTCATAGTTTAATGCCTTCTCCAAAGAGCTTAGTTTAATGCCTTCTCCAAAGAGCTTTCCTGGACTGACTGCACTGCACTGTTTTTGTAAAACTGAATGTTTCTGAAAGGCAAATAGTCCTGAAGGAAACCAGGCTTCTCACGTATGGCATGCTCACAGCAACAGGCTATTTTGAAAGCATTCTTTTCAGAGAAGTAAAACTGGAACTGCTAAAGAAGCCTTTTAAGGCAGTTTGACAGTATCAGATTACCCTCGTTCACCACTGAAATGAGAACACCATGTATTGCAGTGTCTAGAAAATCTTGTCTGCATCACAACTCTGCTGCCTTAAGTGCTGCACAGAAAGATCAGAAGTTTATCTTTGTGCCAAACAATTTACAGTCCCATGATAAAACAAAGGAAGAAACGGTACAATGAGATGAGTATTGTCATACTAGCCAAGCTTTTGTTGGCATCACCCACAAAGGAGAAGTTTAGAGAGGAACATGAAGAAGAATAAAGAAGTGCCTTCTGGAAGTTTACACAGAAGTCCAGCATGTGGTATAGCACAAACATGGCCCAGTGCATGCCTGAAAGAGTGGGAAACACCTTATTTACAAGTGAGTGGGGGAAAAAAAAATCTTGGTATTTAGTCACCCATCTTTAGAGATGATTGCAAAACTCTATGGCAGCTTTTCTTCTTCAGAGGAGAAAATTTTGTGTAGAAAGACACTCCACAGAGACAGAAATGGCTCTTGACCATTTCTGATTTGCATGACTTCTTTAGATGACTTTGATGTAATCATTTTGTTAAAAAAATGCTGTTGATTATTTGTATTACCGTGGTATGAGCCCACCACAGAAGGAGCTCTGGCAATGGATGAGGCTTCTGCTGTGCTAGGTGCTCAATAAACACAGGCAGAAAGATTTTAACAGATAACTAAAAAAAAAAAAATAAAAGAAATTTGAGAGCATGGATAGTGATAGCTAAGGAGGGAATGAGACATTAATGAGCATGATGGGCAGTGGAATTGAAACAGATTTCAATTTTGGTAGCAGAGGAGAGTTTAAAGGATAGTACTGAATTTTGATGTTGAGTGATGAACGTGAAAAGCAGTCTGGAAGAAGAGATAAAGGTTCCTATTTGAAAATGGAGACTGATGTCCTGTGAATCTGAGCTCTTCTTATTGGTGGAAAGATGGTAAGGACAGTATGACTGAGCTATGAGGGCTGATTATACTTAGGTATAATCAAGATGGGAGAGACAAGGAAGGGGAAGAGAAAGGAGAGAGAGTTGACTCCATTAAAGTGACAGGCTGTGAGGGTGATTTTTGCAGCAGCTTGATTGGTCAAAATGGGAAGCCTCAGTGTTCCTGTAACTAGCAGATGAGAGTAATGTCACATTAGTGACATTACTTAGGAGAGTTCTAATTTGTGGGGCTATCTAGGAAAATCTTCATCTGAAATGTGTTAATCAGAAAGAATCACCTCGGGGGCGATGACTTTTAACTGTTTTACTGGCACTTCCTATTGCTAGTGATAGCAGTAACAGAAAAGACACAGTTCAGTTCCATGGAGAGCCCCACACCTACAGCTGATGTCTTTTTGGATGGGCTCACAATCCCATTTTGAATTTCGACGAGTGAAATTCAGACCACCTGACCAGGAGGACTGGGTGGATGAGGCCCTCTACAAACAGATAGGAGCTGCCTCACGTTCATGAGCCCTGGTCCTCATGGGGGACTTCAACCACCCCATCATCTGTTGGAAGGACAACACAGCAGGGCATAGGCAATCCAGGAGGTTCCTGGAATGCATGGATGATAACTTCCTTCTCCAAGTGGTAGAGGAACCAACGAGGAGAGGTGTTTTGCTGGACCTTGTTCTCACCAACAATGAAGGGCTGGTGGGGAACATGACGCTCAAGGGCAGCCTTGGTTGCAGCGATCATGAAATGGTAGAATTCAAGATACTTAGAGAAGCAAGGAGGGTGCATAGCAGGCTCACTACCCTGGATTTCAGGAGAGCAGACTTTGGCCTCTTCAGGGATCTCCTCGCTAGAGTACAATGGGATGAGGCCCTGGAGGGAAGAGGGGCACAAGAAAGCTGGTTAATATTCAAGGATCACCTCCTCCAAGCTCAGGAGTGGTGCATCCCAACAAAGAGAAAGTCAGGTAGGAACACCAGGAGGCCTGCATGGATGAACAAAGAGCTCCTGGACCAACTTGGACACAAAAAGAAGGCCTATAGGGGGTGGAAGCAAGGATGGGTAGCCTGGGAAGAATACAGAGTGATTGTCCGAGCAATCAGAGATCAGGTTAGGAAAGCTAAAGCCCTGATAGAGTTAAATCTGGCCAGGGACATCAAGGGCAACAAGAAAAACTTCTATAGATATGTCAGTGATAAAAAGAGATCTAGGGCCCTCTCTGGAAGGAAATGGGAGACCTGGCTACCCGGGATATGGAGAAGGCTGAGGTTCTCAATGACTTCTTTGCCTCAGTCTTCACTGGTTAGAGCTCCAGCTGCACAGCCCAAGTCACAGAAGGCAAAGGCAGGGACTGTGAGAATGAAGAACCGCCTACTGTAGGAGAAGATGAGGTCCGAGACCATC